CACCCCGTCCTGCGCCTGACCCCCTGGCCCGGAGCCCGCACCCCGTCCTGCGCCTGACCCCCTGGCCCGGAGCCCGCACCCCGTCCTGCGCCTGACCCCCTGGCCCGGAGCCCGCACCCCGTCCTGCGCCTGACCCCCTGGCCCGGAGCCCGCACCCCGTCCTGCGCCTGACCCCCTGGCCCGGAGCCCGCACCCCGTCCTGCGCCTGACCCCCTGGCCCGGAGCCCGCACCCCGTCCTGCGCCTGACCCCCTGGCCCGGAGCCCGCACCCCGTCCTGCGCCTGACCCCCTGGCCCGGAGCCCGCACCCCGTCCTGCGCCTGACCCCCTGGCCCGGAGCCCGCACCCCGTCCTGCGCCTGACCCCCTGGCCCGGAGCCCGCACCCCGTCCTGCGCCTGACCCCCTGGCCCGGAGCCCGCACCCCGTCCTGCGCCTGACCCCCTGGCCCGGAGCCCGCACCCCGTCCTGCGCCTGACCCCCTGGCCCGGAGCCCGCACCCCGTCCTGCGCCTGACCCCCTGGCCCGGAGCCCGCACCCCGTCCTGCGCCTGACCCCCTGGCCCGGAGCCCGCACCCCGTCCTGCGCCTGACCCCCTGGCCCGGAGCCCGCACCCCGTCCTGCGCCTGACCCCCTGGCCCGGAGCCCGCACCCCGTCCTGCGCCTGACCCCCTGGCCCGGAGCCCGCACCCCGTCCTGCGCCTGACCCCCTGGCCCGGAGCCCGCACCCCGTCCTGCGCCTGACCCCCTGGCCCGGAGCCCGCACCCCGTCCTGCGCCTGACCCCCTGGCCCGGAGCCCGCACCCCGTCCTGCGCCTGACCCCCTGGCCCGGAGCCCGCACCCCGTCCTGCGCCTGACCCCCTGGCCCGGAGCCCGCACCCCGTCCTGCGCCTGACCCCCTGGCCCGGAGCCCGCACCCCGTCCTGCGCCTGACCCCCTGGCCCGGAGCCCGCACCCCGTCCTGCGCCTGACCCCCTGGCCCGGAGCCCGCACCCCGTCCTGCGCCTGACCCCCTGGCCCGGAGCCCGCACCCCGTCCTGCGCCTGACCCCCTGGCCCGGAGCCCGCACCCCGTCCTGCGCCTGACCCCCTGGCCCGGAGCCCGCACCCCGTCCTGCGCCTGACCCCCTGGCCCGGAGCCCGCACCCCGTCCTGCGCCTGACCCCCTGGCCCGGAGCCCGCACCCCGTCCTGCGCCTGACCCCCTGGCCCGGAGCCCGCACCCCGTCCTGCGCCTGACCCCCTGGCCCGGAGCCCGCACCCCGTCCTGCGCCTGACCCCCTGGCCCGGAGCCCGCACCCCGTCCTGCGCCTGACCCCCTGGCCCGGAGCCCGCACCCCGTCCTGCGCCTGACCCCCTGGCCCGGAGCCCGCACCCCGTCCTGCGCCTGACCCCCTGGCCCGGAGCCCGCACCCCGTCCTGCGCCTGACCCCCTGGCCCGGAGCCCGCACCCCGTCCTGCGCCTGACCCCCTGGCCCGGAGCCCGCACCCCGTCCTGCGCCTGACCCCCTGGCCCGGAGCCCGCACCCCGTCCTGCGCCTGACCCCCTGGCCCGGAGCCCGCACCCCGTCCTGCGCCTGACCCCCTGGCCCGGAGCCCGCACCCCGTCCTGCGCCTGACCCCCTGGCCCGGAGCCCGCACCCCGTCCTGCGCCTGACCCCCTGGCCCGGAGCCCGCACCCCGTCCTGCGCCTGACCCCCTGGCCCGGAGCCCGCACCCCGTCCTGCGCCTGACCCCCTGGCCCGGAGCCCGCACCCCGTCCTGCGCCTGACCCCCTGGCCCGGAGCCCGCACCCCGTCCTGCGCCTGACCCCCTGGCCCGGAGCCCGCACCCCGTCCTGCGCCTGACCCCCTGGCCCGGAGCCCGCACCCCGTCCTGCGCCTGACCCCCTGGCCCGGAGCCCGCACCCCGTCCTGCGCCTGACCCCCTGGCCCGGAGCCCGCACCCCGTCCTGCGCCTGACCCCCTGGCCCGGAGCCCGCACCCCGTCCTGCGCCTGACCCCCTGGCCCGGAGCCCGCACCCCGTCCTGCGCCTGACCCCCTGGCCCGGAGCCCGCACCCCGTCCTGCGCCTGACCCCCTGGCCCGGAGCCCGCACCCCGTCCTGCGCCTGACCCCCTGGCCCGGAGCCCGCACCCCGTCCTGCGCCTGACCCCCTGGCCCGGAGCCCGCACCCCGTCCTGCGCCTGACCCCCTGGCCCGGAGCCCGCACCCCGTCCTGCGCCTGACCCCCTGGCCCGGAGCCCGCACCCCGTCCTGCGCCTGACCCCCTGGCCCGGAGCCCGCACCCCGTCCTGCGCCTGACCCCCTGGCCCGGAGCCCGCACCCCGTCCTGCGCCTGACCCCCTGGCCCGGAGCCCGCACCCCGTCCTGCGCCTGACCCCCTGGCCCGGAGCCCGCACCCCGTCCTGCGCCTGACCCCCTGGCCCGGAGCCCGCACCCCGTCCTGCGCCTGACCCCCTGGCCCGGAGCCCGCACCCCGTCCTGCGCCTGACCCCCTGGCCCGGAGCCCGCACCCCGTCCTGCGCCTGACCCCCTGGCCCGGAGCCCGCACCCCGTCCTGCGCCTGACCCCCTGGCCCGGAGCCCGCACCCCGTCCTGCGCCTGACCCCCTGGCCCGGAGCCCGCACCCCGTCCTGCGCCTGACCCCCTGGCCCGGAGCCCGCACCCCGTCCTGCGCCTGACCCCCTGGCCCGGAGCCCGCACCCCGTCCTGCGCCTGACCCCCTGGCCCGGAGCCCGCACCCCGTCCTGCGCCTGACCCCCTGGCCCGGAGCCCGCACCCCGTCCTGCGCCTGACCCCCTGGCCCGGAGCCCGCACCCCGTCCTGCGCCTGACCCCCTGGCCCGGAGCCCGCACCCCGTCCTGCGCCTGACCCCCTGGCCCGGAGCCCGCACCCCGTCCTGCGCCTGACCCCCTGGCCCGGAGCCCGCACCCCGTCCTGCGCCTGACCCCCTGGCCCGGAGCCCGCACCCCGTCCTGCGCCTGACCCCCTGGCCCGGAGCCCGCACCCCGTCCTGCGCCTGACCCCCTGGCCCGGAGCCCGCACCCCGTCCTGCGCCTGACCCCCTGGCCCGGAGCCCGCACCCCGTCCTGCGCCTGACCCCCTGGCCCGGAGCCCGCACCCCGTCCTGCGCCTGACCCCCTGGCCCGGAGCCCGCACCCCGTCCTGCGCCTGACCCCCTGGCCCGGAGCCCGCACCCCGTCCTGCGCCTGACCCCCTGGCCCGGAGCCCGCACCCCGTCCTGCGCCTGACCCCCTGGCCCGGAGCCCGCACCCCGTCCTGCGCCTGACCCCCTGGCCCGGAGCCCGCACCCCGTCCTGCGCCTGACCCCCTGGCCCGGAGCCCGCACCCCGTCCTGCGCCTGACCCCCTGGCCCGGAGCCCGCACCCCGTCCTGCGCCTGACCCCCTGGCCCGGAGCCCGCACCCCGTCCTGCGCCTGACCCCCTGGCCCGGAGCCCGCACCCCGTCCTGCGCCTGACCCCCTGGCCCGGAGCCCGCACCCCGTCCTGCGCCTGACCCCCTGGCCCGGAGCCCGCACCCCGTCCTGCGCCTGACCCCCTGGCCCGGAGCCCGCACCCCGTCCTGCGCCTGACCCCCTGGCCCGGAGCCCGCACCCCGTCCTGCGCCTGACCCCCTGGCCCGGAGCCCGCACCCCGTCCTGCGCCTGACCCCCTGGCCCGGAGCCCGCACCCCCTTGGACTCGCCTGGTGCTGCGGTTGCACTTCTCAGGGCCGCGACGCGGAGCTGTCGGCCGCCCGCAGAAGGCAGCGTGGGAGTCAAGTCTCTAACGACCTGCAGCCAGGGCCTGATGCATTAATTAGAGCCCCAGTCGCCCTGTTCCCACGGCCCCACCCCAGGCAAACGCACCAGAAACTGCCAGCTGGCCCGTCACGCGCCATGGCCATTTCTCCCCCAGCCTCGCTCACTTGCACAGGCTGGGGTGGGGGTTGGGGTGCAGGAGGGGCTCCAGGCTGAGCCCAGGGTGGAGAATTGGGGTCCAGGAAGGGTTTCAGGGTGCAAGCTCTGGGAAGGAGTTTGGGTGCAGGGGGACTCGCATCTGGGGCAGGAGCAGCATGACAGTGGGGGGCGGGGCAACTGAAGGGCCAGCGCTTGATAGCTTCCCGGTCGAACCCGTCAGGATCCCCTGTCAGACGCTCCGAGATCTACCGGTAGATCCCGATCGACTGGTTGGTGAGCACTGTGCTCGGGTGACAGGAGCCCGTGGGGGCCCAGCTGAGATTGGGGTCCCCTTGTGCCAGGTGGTGGTGTTTGTCCTTTCCTCCGGGAGTTCACCGTGGAAACAGACAAGACGAAGGGAAGGTTCATGATCCCCGTTCTGTAGATGGGAACAGGGGCGGCGGGTGCGCTAGGCCGGGGGAGGCGTTGCCTTCCCAATCTGCCAGCCTGGCCCCGCCCCCAGACTGCGTGCTGTAGGCGTAGTGGGGGGCAGAGCGTTGCTGCTCCCGGGCACCTGCCTGCCCCGTGCTCCGGGGCCAGGAGGCTTGGGCCATGCACCACCAGCCCTCCCTGTGATGGGGGCGTGGCTTGAGCAGAAGGGGCGGGGCTAGATCTCCCAGCCCTACCTTCACCATGGGAAGTAAAACTCAGACTAACTAGCCCCAAGTCGGGAAGAAAATTGGTGGCAGGACTCGGGCCTTGAACCCAGAGTCTCAGTCCATGAGTAGCAAAGAGAAACGTTTATCCGGGATGGGGGCGGTCTCCTGATGCGTGGCCTAGCTTGGAAGAAACTGGGAAAATTGGCTCCTTTTTGCTGCCTTTTTAACAGGCGGCTCCCACCGTCAACGGCACAAAGCTGCCGTTCCCTCTCCCCACCTGGGAATGTCTGAGCCTTGCTCCAGGCAGGTCTGTCTGGGTAGTGACCCCTTCCAGGCCTGCTCCTGGTAGCTGCGGTGGGAGCCCGGCTCCCACAGGGAGAGCATTGGGGTAACTATTGTCCGTGACCGAAACCCCTGCAGACGTGTCCTCTCCTCTGGCCCGCAGGTGCGCAAGCACATCAACGACCTGTACGAAGACCTGCGAGACGGCCACAACCTGATCTCGCTGCTGGAGGTTCTGTCGGGGGTCAAGCTGGTGAGTTTCCTGCTGTGCGGGGGCTGGGGACCGGATTCCCAGGCTGCCGCCTTCTCCTTGCTGCCTCCTGCCCTGCCTCTGGGCTTGGCTGGGTTTGGTTTTGTATCTTCATCGCGCTGGTTTTCTGGATCACACCTGTGAGAGGTTACAGGTGTCTTAAGATGCAGCTGGATTCACTCTCTGGGAGGCCTCCTATGTATCTGGGGCTGTGTGAATACAGAGGGGCAGGTTTAGCTTCACGTTCCCCTCTCCAGGCAGCTTAGCTTTCCCTCCACGGGCGTTGCCTAGTGCTTTTCACACCCTAACTAGCTGTTTGGCCCTGCTGGAGGCATTGGTTCCCGGTTTCAGAAGTGCCTCAAGGACTTCACAACCTGAGGTTTTCCAAAATGACCTAAGTGCCTAGCAGCCTAAATCACTAGAACCTCGCTCAGTTTATCTGGGCATGGATGGACTTGCTTTGTTGTAGCAGCGTAGATGTGCCCGACACGATCGCTCAGAAGTTCTCCTTAATCCGACAGGCCTCTCCTGGGGATGGCCAAGCGGGCGTATGTACCGAGGCATTTGCAGCTCTGTAGTTTGGACCAACTGACTCAGGCTCTTGCTACCGAGCTAAAAATAGCCTGAGCTCCAAGACTCTATCTCCTCGCCGGGTTTCAGAGCCGGCCTGGGCTCTGGCCCCCACCCCAACATCCACACTGCGATCTTGGGCCCGATAGTGCGAACGTAGTGAGCTCAGATCACTTAACCTGGGCTCAGAGACTCGCTCCGGGGGTTGTCGTCACACAAGAGGGTCCTACTAGGCGTTTTTTAGCTGGCAGAACATTTAAAAGCTTCCGAGGGGGAGCTGAGTTAGTCTGTAATAGGAAAAACTTAAAAACCAACAAATTGTCTAGTAGCACCTTAGCGACTAAAACATGTCGATGGTGTGACGAGTTTTCCCGGGCACAGCCCACTTCTTCAGATGACTGGAGTATGAGACGTCTAAAAGACGGTCCCTTAATCCAGCAGCTGAGATCTGCGGGAGCTGTGCTTTTTCAGAGATGTCAACATGACCGTTCTGGTGTGCAAGCAGGAGGCAGCTCTAGGCACGTCCAAAGATGGGCCTGAATTTTCAGTCTGAGAAGAACTGCCAATGTGTTGAAAATCCGCAGGGTTAGCTACATGGGTGCAGCTGCGCTTAAATGTGTCTCGAGCCATTTAACGGCTGGCTCCTGCGGTGGGTTGGCGGAGGTCCAGTCTCACGTTAGCCACCGAAGTTTGTAGGTTTCTAGTGCCCGCGCTGCCCAGCTGTTTTCTTCAGGTGCACGTTCAGACTTTCCTGTCCGGTGCTCCGGAATCGCGCTGCAGCTGTGGAGGGAGAGGCAAACGTCTTCAGGCTGCAAGCGTCGTCCCTTCTGTCTGGGGCTGAGTAGAATCCCTCGCCCCTTGCTAGGCCAGCAAACCTCATTAGCGCTCGGGAGATGCTTTCTGGTGCAGTCGTGCAGCTCCGAGGGAATCGTTTTAGTAACCCCTAAAACAGGATCCGTGAGAAGACGTGTGAGCTTGCTCAGCTGCCTTCCTGAGAGGCAAGCCACGCTGGGAGGGTGTGGGTCATTGGCCGTAGATGCTTCAGAAGGGCCTTACTCCCAGCCCGAGGGAGTCCGGGGGAAATCTCTCTGCATAGGCCAATCTGCGGCCCGAGGGCTGGTGGATGCGTGCGGCCCGTGAGACGTTCTAACCTTGCCCGGGAGCAGGGTCGCCAGATTTTGTAGTTTCCTTTCACATCAGTTTTTCCCTGCCAGTCTTACTAAAGTGTCACAGACATGAAGCTAGGGCCTGGGGAGGGAGAGGGGTGCGGATTGCACCCGGCACTGGCGGCGAGAGCCGGGTGCTCCAATCCAGCGCCGCTCTGGTGCGATCGGCAAAGCCTGCAAATTCGAGGCGCGCAGGGAGCAAAACCGCCCTGTCCTGGGAGACCGTCCGGGTCCGGGGTCTCCAGCCTTTGTAAGCACGAGATCACTTTTTGAATTTAAGCGTGATCCAGGATCTACCTCAGACCCAAACTCCCTCGCCCAGTCTCCTTCCCGCCCCTTCTCCGAGGCCCTGCCCCTGCTCACTCCATCCTCCCTCCCCATCCTCATTCACTTTTATCAGGCTGGGGGCAGTGGATTCAGGCAGGGGTTCGGAATGCTGGCTTCAGCTGGGCACCGCTTACCACAGGTGGCTTCAGGGGGGTGGTGCAGGGGGCTAAGGCAGGCTCACCCCTCCCCTGGCCCTGCACCCCTTCTCAAAGCAGCCAAAAAACTCTCTGTCCCTGCCTCCCTCCGCTCTGTGGAGTTAGGGTTCAGGGTGGGGGGAGGGGCACCCTGACAGCAGCAGCCCCCCTTCCTCTTCTCCCAGTGCCCTGCACAGCAAGCAGGAGGCTCCCAGCGGTTGAGGGGCATCTCCCCGGCAGAGGGCAGGAGCAGCATGGCAGCGCGGAGAGGGGCAGATGAAGCGCTGGCCCTCGACCGTTGGGATTGGCCCTGCCTAGAGCAGGGGGCTGGACTTGATCTCCTGAGGTCTCTGCCGGTTCGATGAGTCTACGGCCGCCTCCCGGTCAAACCTCTCCGGATCACCAGTCAGAGGCTCCAAGATCTCCCAGTTGCCCCCGGTGGACTGGTTGGGGACCACTGGTCCAGGGGATCGCAGTCTTGGGGCCCACGGAGAGGGAGGGCCACTCCTGCGGCCCACTCCCCAGCCTCGGTTGGCCCCTGCTGGCCTAGACGCCCCGTGCGGAAATCCCGGTTCGCAGGCGGGGGGGGCTGGACGGTGGCCGCTGCTGCGATCGCTGAGGCCGTTCTGCCCGAAAAGTTGATGCCGATCTCCCGTGGGCTCGGGGGCCAGAAGGGACCATTAGAGCAGAGCCCCTTGTACGATGCAGGCCAGAGCGTTTCATGCCGTTGCCTCTTCTGAGCCCGGGAACGAGCAGTTGGCACAAACGCCTCGTCTCTGAGTGCCCACCTCTGCCGTCGGACTCCAGCCCCGAGAGCCAGGCCGGCCAGCCAGCCCGCCTCGGGGGAGGGAGGGTGGCGTGCGGCGGGTTTCTTTTTCTTTGCCCACGTGTTGCCTTTTTCGTTCCTTTTCTGTTTTCCTGTCCCTGTCCCCCCGGTGTTGTCTGTGCCGCGTGGTTAGCAAAAGGAGCCTCCGGGCCCGAAGAGCCTCCGCCTGGCGAAAGCGCCCGCCTGGCGTCGCACGAGCAGCGAAGAGCGGGAGGAGGAGGAGGATGGTGACGCAGTAGGTTGGCTCCCCTCCGGGAGCGATGGCATGCAGACTGACACTGGCGTGCCGTCAGAGCGTCCAGACCTAGCCACGCTTTGCCCGGGGCTCCGCGCCACTGTCCAGCCTGCCACGCCCATGCCGGCTGCCTCCGCCGTTCCGTGGCTGGGACCTTCCGCCCGCTCCGGTTCTGGTCTGAGCCCACATGTCCGTGCAGCCCCCAGTGCGAGCCTGGCCAGGGGTCTAGTTGCTGTGCGGACACCCTCCCCCCAGTGACCCCTGGCCTCAGGTGGGGTGCTGGAAGGTTCGCCTGGGCCCCTTCCCCCAGCCCAGATTGGAACTGAGAGCAATGTGAGCCCCGGGGCAGCGAACACCGAAGGGCAGTGAATCCCGTATTCCGCCTGGACAGTGCTGGCTCCACGGGATCTGGGTGGTCTGAGCGCATGACACCGTTGCTGGTCTGACGTGGGAGAATGCTGGCGCACCTGCTGGGAGAGCATGAACTGTCTGTTCGCTGGGGGGGGGACTGCTCCTAGGTGGCCCCCCCGGCTCTCACCCGTCCCAGATAGAGCCCCTAGGGTCCCGTGTGCTCTCGGGTGGGACAGGCAGGTCTCTCCACTGGCACGGAGCAAACGGCCGTTAGGACGCCCCCCGGACGTTTACTAACAGTTCTCACTGCATGGGGCGCGCTGCCTGGTTTGCTGAGCCGTGTGCCCGGAGGCCAGTAGCGTTGCTGTCAGACAGCAAGGGCTAACCGTGCATGGTAACCAGCCTGCTCGCGGGCCGCAATCTCAGGCTTCCTGGAGCGGAGCAGCCTTCCCCACGGCCGCGGGGGCCGCACCTCCCCGGAGTAAGAAGGAACTGGTAGAAATGGTCACGTTTCTTACCGACCCCCGGAGCTGGGCCGCGGCTCCCTTCTCTTCAGCTCTTTTCCGGTAGTGTCATTGCACCGGAAATGACTCGTGGGCGACACTGCTCTGCCAGGGGCCGGATGGGGCCCGCCCCGCCC